AGAGATTGTGCCATTGCACTCCAGCCTGGGCAATAAGAGCAAAACTCCATCTCAAAAACAAAGCCAAACAAAACAAAGAAGTGTGTGCCACCTTTCCCCACCTCTCTTGCTCCTGCTCTGGCCATGTGACATGCCTGCTTCCACTTCTCCTTTTGCCATGACTGTAAGCCTCCCGAGGCCTCCCCAGAAGTCAAGCAGATGCCAGTACCATTTTTCCTGTAAAGCCTGCAGAACCATGAGCCAATTAAACCCCTTTTCTTTACAAATTACCTACTCTCAGGTGTATCTTCGTATCAATATGAGAATAGACTAATACAGAAAATTGGTACCAAGAGCTGATGCCTTGTTATGAAGATACCTGAGAATTTGGAAACAATTGGAACTGGGTAATGAGCAAAGGTTGGAAGAGTCTGGAAGGAAGATAAGGGAAGGTCTGCAAGTTCCTAGAGACTAGTTATATGGTTGCGACCAAAATGCTGATAGTGATACGGACAATGAAGTCGAGGCTGAGGAGGTCTCAGATGGAAATGGGGAACTCATTGGTACCTGGAGCAAAGGTCACGTGTGTTATGCTTTAGCAAAGAACTTGGCTGCACTGTGTCCATGTCCTAGGGATCTGAGGAAGCTTGGACTTGAAAGTGATAATTTAGGGTATCTGGTGGAAGAAATTTCTAAGCAGCAAAATGCTCAATATGTTGAACAGCTGCTTCTAACAGCATATACTCAGATGCATGAGCACAGAAATAACCTAAGGATGGAACTTAAAGGGGAAGCAGAGCACAAAAGTTTGAAAAATGTGCAACCTGTCCATGTGGTAGAAAATAAAAGCCCATTTTCAGAAAAAGAATTCAAGGGGGCTACAGAGCAACCACTTGCTAGAGAACCACTTGCTAGAAAATATTCCACATCTAAATAGGTGACAGGTGCTAATAGTCAAGACAATGTGTAGAAGGCCTAGACAGCACTTCAGAAATCTAACAGGCAGCCCTTCCCATTACAGGCTCTGAGGCCTAGGACAGAATAGTTTCATGGGCCAGGCCCAGGGCCCTGAAGCCCTCCACAGCCTTGGGACATTGCTCCTTGCAACCCAGCCATTCTAGCTCCAGCCATGACTCAGAGTGGCCCAGGTATAGCTTGGCTCACTGCTTCAGAGGGTGCAAGCCATAAGCCTTGGTGGCTTCCAATGGGTGTCAAGCCTGTGGGTGCACAGAGCACAAGGGCTAAGGCTTGGCTGCCTCCACCTAGATTTCAGAGGATATATGGAAAAGCCTGGATATCCAGGCAGAAGCCAGCTTCAGGGGTAGATGCCTCATGGAGAACCTCTACTAGGGCAGTGCACAGGGGAAATATGGGGTTGAAGCCCCAACACAAAGTCCTTACTGGGGCACTGCCTAATGGAGCTGTGAGAAAAGGGCCACCATCCTCCAACCCCAGATCCACTGATAGCTTGTACCCTGAGCCTGGAAAAGCTGCAGGCACTCAATGATGCCAGCCCATGAGAGCAGCCATGAGGGCTTAACCCTGCAAAGCCACAGGGGCAGAGCTGCTCAAAGCCTTGGGAGTACACCGCTTCCATCAGTGTGTCCTGGATGTGGGACACAGAGTTAAAGGAGATTGTTTTGGAGCTTTAAGATTTAATGACTGCCCTGCTGGGATGGAACTTGTATAAGGCCTGTAGCCCCTTTCATTTGGCTGATTTCCCCCTTTTGGGATGGGAATGTTTACTCAATATCTATAATCTCATTGTATCTTGGAAGTAAATAACTTATTTCAGATTTTACAGGCTCATCGGTGAAAGGGACTTGCCTCATCTCAGATAGAACTTTGGACTTCTGGGTTAATGCTGGAATGAGTTAAAACTTTGGGGGACTGTTGGGAAGGCATGATTATATGTTGCAATGTGACAAGAATACATGAGATCTGGGACGGGCCAGCAATGGAATGATACTTTGGATGTGTGTCCCCACCCAAATTTCATGTTGAAATGTAATTCCCAATGTTGGAATGCTGGAGGTGGGGCCTGGTGGGAACCGACTGAATCATGGGAGCAGATCCCTCAAGAATGGTTTAGCACCATACTCTTGGTGCTGTACTCACTATAGTGAGTGAATTCTTAAGAGTTCTGGTTACATAAAACGGCACCTCACTCTCTCCCTCTTGCTACTTTTGCCATGTGATGTGCCTGTTCCACTCTTTGCCTTCCACAGTGATTGTAATCTTCTGAGGCCTCCCCAGAAGCACATGCCACTATGTTTCCTATACAGTCTGCAGAACCATGAGCCAATTAAACCTCTTTTCTTTACAAATTATCTGCTCTCGGGTTTTTTGTTTGTTTGTTTTAAGATGGAGTTTCCCTCTGTCATCCTGACTGTGCAATCTTGGCTCACTGCCACCTCCACCTCTTGGGTTCAAGTGATTCTCTTGCCTTAGCCTTCTGAGCAGCTGGGATTACCGGAGCCCACCATAATGCCGTGTGAATTTTTGTATTTTTGGTAGAGATGGGGTTTCACTATGTTGGCCAGACTGGTCTTGAACTCCTGACTTCGAGTGCTCTGTCTGCCTCAGCCTCCCAAAGTACTGGGATTACAGACATGAGCCACCATGCCCAGCAAGTATTTCTTTATATCAGTTCAAGAATGGACTAACACAGAGTTTACCATAAAAGTGAGGATAGTAGTTATTGGAGGAGAGGGCAAGAGGGAGAGGTTAGTGATTGAAGAGCGGGCACAAGGGGGATTCTCTGGTACTGGCAATGATAGTTGCATGGATATTCTCTTTATGATACATTTTGCCTCTATAAATGTGGTTTACCCTTTTTTGTTAGATTTAATAATCAAAAGATTTAAAAAAGCATAAAAACAAACATGAAGAACTCATTTGAAAATAATCTGAAAGATACATAAATCATATGTTTTAAATAGTTGCTTTCTTAAAGGTTAAGAAAAAAAGAGAAGTCACTTTGTATTAGGTATTAGAAGTTTTTGTTTGTTTTCCCCCCATTGACTGTCTCTGTAAGCCCATGTTTTGGACAAGTGTTAAGATAAACTAACTTAAAGTTTTAGTATTCAAGGTTTGTTAGTGCCATATAAAAAGGGAAATATAATCACAAGCATTTAAATCAGAGAGTTTGTGCAAGAGAGAACAGGGTATGTTTTCAGTTGTCAATCTGGACAATTAAAAGGTAGAAAGGCGGTTAATTTGAATTTGAAAAAAGGTGGCCCTCTGGAAGCCTGGTGGCGGCAGCAGCAGCCCACCCTGGTCTCTGAGGTACTCTTGGAGTCACTTTTTCCTTTTCCTGAAGGACAACACATGGGCTCACAGCTGACCAGCTCCATCAGCCTGCTTCCTGTCTGAAGAATCCCAGTCATCTGACAGCCTTCTTTCTCTTCTTCCTGTCCAAGCTGGCTGTGTTTGTGCTAAGATGGTTGACTGGCTCTATCACGTACCTAATCTCTTCACAAAAGTCTAGCCACACTCTTAGCCCTGTCTCCAGAACATGGTATTCAGAGAGGCTGAGAATTTTCTAAATTCTCAAATGCTAGTTCCTTTTCTCTTAACAGGTCCTTCCACAATTTGCTCATTCCTCTCACATTATTAAGCAGCAAGCAGAAATCAGGCTGTACCTTTCACAATCTGCTTGGAAATTTCCTCAACAAACTATCCAAATTTGTTGTTTACGTATACTATTTTCCTTCCAACAGTAGAACATAATTCAGCCACAGTCTGTCACCTTCTTTTTTTTTTTTGTTGAGACAGTATTTCACTCTTGTTGCCCAGGCTGGAATGCAATGTCAAAATCTCAGCTCACTGCAACCTCTGCCTCCTGGGATCAAATGATTCTCTTGCCACAGCCACCCAAGTAGCTGGGATTACAGTCATGTGCCACCATGCCTGTCTAACTTTCTATTTTTAGTAGAGACGGGGTTTCTCCATGTTGGTCAGGCTGTTCTCAAACACCTAACAGCAGAAGTTCCACCCACCATGGCCTCCCATAGCGCTGGGATTACAGGCATAAGCCACCTTGCCCAGCCCAACTGGCCACTTTCTAACAAAGATCCCCTTTCTTTTAGTGTCCAATAAATGTTCCTCATTTCCATCTAGGTCTTCACTAAAAGTGCTTTTAACATTTATATTTTAGCAACATTCTAATCCTAATGGGAGTCTCAAAAACAACCTGAAGCTTTCTCTACAGATCTCTTCTTCCTGAGCCCTCACCAGAATTGCCTTTAACATTCACCATTCTATCAAGTTCCTCTTCAAGGAAATCTAGTCTTTTTCTATCAAGCACCTTAAAACTTTCCAGTCTCTATTCAATACCTAATTCCAAAGCCACATCCTCATTTCTAAGTATTTGCTACTGCAACACCCCACTTCCCAGTACCAAAACCTATATTAGATTTCTGGGGCTGCAACAAAATACCACATATTGGGTGGGTTAAAACAATAAAAATATATTTACAATGTGAAGGCCAAAGTCCCTAATGAAGGTGTTAGCTGGGTCATGCTCTCTGACAGCTCTAGGGGAGTATCCTTCCTTGCCTCTTTCTAGCTTCTGGTGGCCACAGAAAATTCTTAACTTTCCTTGGCTATTTGTGTCCAAATTTCTCTTGTCCTATAAGGCCATCAAGCATTGGGTTAGGATCTACCCTAATCCAGGGTGACCTCATCTTAATTTGATTATATCGGCAAAGGCATTATTTCTAAATAAGGTCATATTCATTAGGACCACAGGTTAGGACTTGAACATATCTTTTCTGGAGCAGGCACAATTTTACTCACCACATAGCACAATTCTAAAAACAGAGACTTCTGGGAACATATAACATGGTCCATGGTAGTAGTAATTTCTGTGATATGAACACACGCTATTTAGCTCCTGGTCTTCTGGTGGTGTTGGATGTTAGTTTAACCTTGTTTAACCAGGATGTTCCCCATAACTTCATTAATATTTTCTAAATAGAAGCATCTTTATTTAGAATGAACTAATAGGAATCTCTAACCTTTAGTGCTTCAGTAGCCTTGCGAAGCTCCTTAATAACCGATGATAAAGCTTCTGGGTTAATTCCTTGTTCACAAAGCCGTACACAAATAGACAGAGTTTCCATATCTAAGCCAGTATTCAAAATTCTTGAAATCTCAAGCAGAACTGAAAAAAGATATAAAGAAAACTTAAAAAAAAAAAAAAAAAAAAAAAAAAAAAAAAAAAAAAAAAAAAAAAAAAAAAAAAAAAAAAAAAAAAAAAAAAAACTTACGGCATTGAAAAATATGCACATAGTACTTTTATTAATTTATATGCACAATACCAGGGAATTAGCACAGCATCCCAGGTTTTGGAAATATGCATGTAATACTGTCTTGCCTTTACTTTATCTTAGAAACTTAAATATAAACTTACAACTTCACATCACAGAACTGCCTTTTCCATCTTGGTATATATTCTAGCACTCATTTAGCATCTATCTAACACACATCCACCACACTTAGGATAATTCTGAACACTTTCTTATTTTTTATTATTCTTTTAAAATGCAGTTTAATTAGTTGCATATCATTCCATTTGATGGAAATACTATGTTTAACTACTCTGTTAGGCGTTAGGCTGCTCTCATGTTTCCCACATTAAATAATATTAAGAATCTGTACATACTAAATTTTATTTCATTAGGATTAATTTCTAGAAACAGAACTGCTCAGTCAGTAATATACATATTTAACTTGCTGAATTGACATTAATTAGGCAAAAAAAGAGAAAAAAGTACATATTTAAGACTTTAAAAGTGTTTAGAAACTTTTGTAACAATTTGACAGCGTAATCATGTCTGTTGAATCTAATAATAAAAATGAAACCTTATATTTTTTAAACTTCATTTGTATAGTACTGCATTTTATTGTAGTTGATAGAAGTCTTTGCCTTTAATATGAGAAGCACTAACAGAGAAACTTGGTTTCCAATGTGATTTTCCAAGAATCCTTTCCATTACAGGTTTGTAAGTACATTGGTTCCATTGAATTTTACGATTGCTTCGCAGAGTGTTTAGAATATTTTAAGTCAACTGTCAACATATTATCTATTGTTTCCTGTATCATTTCCCCTTTGCATTAAGCTTAGAAATTTATTCCCCATGCAAAGATTATATCCACCAGTATTCTCTTCCAGCACTTGAAAGTTTACTTCCCAATACCCCGCAATAAGTATTTATCTCCCTGGAGTTTGGGTGGAAAATAGGATCTAACTTTTCCTCCCAGAAATGAGCCAGTTGCCCCAGTAAAATTTATTGAATGACCTAAGCTTTCCCCACCCAGTGGAGATGCCACCTTTATTCATAGTAAATTCTCATATACCTACAAATTGGTTACATGTCTACCTTTTGTTAGGGCAACCATTTAATTACTATTTATATCTATCGCATTGGGTAGGATAAAGATTCCATTGTCACCTTTCATTTATGTAAGCCCTTTTATTCTTTGGGTAAAGTTAAAATGTCTAGGCCCACTGCAAATGACAACATTTAACATCGATTACACGCTCATATACAGGTGGATATGAGTAAAAAGGAGACAAAGAAGCCTACAAGGGAAATGATATCTGATATGATATAATATGAAAAATAATTGATCAACCAGGATTTTCTTTTACCTGGTTGTCTTACTCTAATATTCACAACTCTAGGAGGTATGGTTTTATTTTACAGAAAAAAAGCCAAACAAGCTCAATGATGTTTAAGTATCTAGTCCAAGCTCAACACAGGGGAATAAAGTGGCAGAACCGACATTAAAGGGTGGAGAGAGGGAAACCTCAAGACACTAATTTAGTGTTCTGCCACGCTTGTGTAGGCTTCACTCGCACGTGCCTCCGGACCGAAAACAGGCGACACGCACAGCACTTGAGCACTGGCGTCACCCGCTTCAAGAGGAAACTAGGACAATTCTGAACTTGTTCATTCGCAGGATATTAACGGCGCCTACAGAAGTGCCAAGGACAGGTGGCATAGCGGTGATCAAACACCTGGCTCCGGTCCGCGCCGGGATCCCAGCCTTGGGGACCGCCGAAGCGCCCCGCACGGCACGCGCGAGGGAACTGGGTGGGGCGAGGCGCGCAGAAGGGAACGGGTAACTACGGAGGGTAGGCGTGGCGCGTTGGGCCGTCACTGCAGGAGAGCGGGCGGGTCGCGCGGACCGGGGACGCTGGATAGAGGGGGCGCGGCCTTCCGGGTCGGGCGCGAGAGGGACGCGGTGCGCAACGGGCTGACGAGGGGGCCGGAACGCCTAGTGCGCACGACAAACTACGCAACGGCGGAGACAACTCTCAAGGGATAAGGCCATCCGTCCTACAGCCCTGGCAGGTCTCTTCCAAAGATCTCTGAAGATGCTGTTCGGGGCAGGAGGAGGCCCTAGAGTCCTCCCCAGGCTCAGCTCCGCCTGGGAGCCTCGGCTCTGGGAAGGCAGGCAAGGTAATGGGAGCGCAACGGGCACTCACCGTCCATGGTCTCCCGCACCGCATTTAGATTCGCCGCCGCGGCAGCCGCCGCCGACCCAGCGCCGCTGCTACTCGCCATGACTGAGGCCGAGGGAGGCGGGAAAAAGGACCTGACCCGGAACTGGAGCGCCTTCCTCTCTGCGGGGCAATCACACCGCGCGTCCCAGCTCACGCCGGGCAGGCTCCGCCCTCGCGCTTGCCGCCGGCGTGAGGCTGCGTTGATTTGAATTTGGAGCCTCGTTCCTCTGCGCGGAACGTGGAGCGAGGAGTTGCTATTCGAATTTCCTAAGCGGCCTCCGTGCGATTGGCTGGTTCGCGGACGGCGGGGCGACGCGATTGGCCAGTCCTTCACAAGCCCCGTGCCCTGGTTGGCCCAAGACAGCGCGGAAGCGGGGAGTTAAAGAGTCTGTGCCTGTCGTGGAAGCTGGCTTGGTCCACGGGAGCTCCCTGGAGAAAGTATTGGGGGCTTCCTTTTGTATGCACCGGTAGGTACGTTCTTTGTGGTCCCTGCCCTTCCCTCCTGTCTGAATGGAGAACTTTCTTTTTCCGGCTCCACACTTGCCTGCCCGCTCGCCCCTGGTGAATGGGAGCAGTCAGGAAGTAGGTGTGGAAGAGAGGGGCACCAGAAAGAGTGGCCGCGTAGGGTTGTGCGTGGGTGACACCTTCTCCGCGCTCCACCCGAGGAAACCGGCTGCAATTCAACCTTCCAGAAGTAGAGTATTCTTCTCCACCTCCCCCCCAAGTTGTAGCCTCTATAGCTTCCTTCGATCGGAAGCAATGCAGTCTCTTTTTCTGTGTTGGGTGGGGGTGGTCTTGGCGAAAGGAGGATTTTGGAGGAAAGCGCACCCAAGGCAGTTAATTTCCTAGCTCCTGTCAATCATACTTCTCTGGCTAGGACTCAGCACAAGCTTCCTCATCTCTTACCTCCTTGCTACAAACAACTGTTTAATAGCAGCTGTAGTTGGATAGGGTATCCGAAGGATGTTCACATTGTTGACACATGAGATGATGAATTAAAAAAAATATATAGATGTAAGTCCTTCAGTTGAGAAGAGATCTTGCCTGTTGTAACCTTTAGTTGCCTCAGAGGCAGATGTGAACTCATTCATATTTGGTTGACTGCTACGTATAAGCCACTTCACGTCTCTGAGCTTATTAATTCTTTCGCAAAATAATACCACTAATAACTTACTGCTGTACCTTCCAAGGTTATTTTGAGGATCACTTGAGAAAATTTGTGATACTTTTTTTGTAAGCTCTAACATAGCCTCAAGAGTGTTAGGCTTTGAGTTGTTTTTGTGACACATGTGTTTGTCGAATACATTTTAATAGTTTAATATCTATAGGACTTGGTAATTTTAACATGCATACTCGATTTCTTTTTAGTTTCCTGTCTGTGCTATGGGAGATGTCAAGGAGTCAAAAATGCAAATAACACCAGAAACTCCAGGAAGGATCCCTGTTTTAAATCCTTTTGAAAGTCCTAGTGATTATTCTAATCTCCATGAACAAACTCTCGCCAGTCCTTCTGTTTTTAAATCAACAAAAATACCAGTAAGTTATTCCTGACTAGTGTTTACAGCTAATTTGAAATGTAAATAGTTACAAATAATTTTAAATGTAAACATCTTTCTTTACAAGGTAAGGAGGAAATACATTATGGAGCATGTATAGCTGCAATATACTTTTAAAAATTTTAGTGTTCATTATAATATAATGGTTAGGTTAGTAAGCTAGAAGATTTTTTTTTAAATTTTTTTAAGTTCAAGAACAATATATGTTAGCTTCCTGCAGTTGTGGTTGTAGCTGCTAATACATTAGAGAAGAAGCTACATCATCTAATTTTCTGTTTTTATTTGGCAAACATTATTTGAGTGTTCTTATATGTCAGATACAGTGCTAAGCACAGGGATTACACTGTGAACAAGTTAGGATCATTAGACACAAATCTGTAAGGAGATTATATTCCAGTGTAGGGGTCAGCAAATTTTCTGTTAGGGGCCAGACAGTAAATACTTAAGCTTTATAGGTCATTTGGTCACTGTCACAACTACTCACTTCTGTCTTGTATCACAAAAGCAGCCATAGGCAGTGTGTAAAGAGATAATGTTACTATGTTCCAATACAGCTTTATTTATGAACACATTGGAATTTCATATAGTTTTCACATGTCACAAAATATTATATTTTTTTGTTTTTTCCCAACCATTTAAAACTGTCAAAATAATTCTTAGCTTGCCATCTATTATAAAAAGAAACTAAACCCTATTTTAATGTGTTAGACACAACCAGATGAGTAATGTCAAGACAGTGTGATAGGTGCTGTGATTAGTGCTTAGCACAATAGTAATATGAAGGAAAAGCATTCTTCATGATATTAGAAAAGACTTCATCACTTTATCTATTTTTTTTTTTTTTTTTTTTGGAGATTTGGGTAGCTTT